GGGGAAAAGAGGAAGAACAATTTAAGAAGCAATTTTAAGAACAAAACAGCAATAGCAGCTGCCAAAATTCCTCTTCCCATATACTCTAGCTGTTTACTGCTATGTTCTTTCCCACCTGGATATACCCTCTTCAAAACTAAAAAAGCGATATTGTAGAGTTATGTAAGATGTTACCATTGGCGGAAGCTGGGTGAAGGGTACAAGAACTCTCAGTACTATTTTTGCAACTTCCTGTGAGTCTATAATTATATCAAAATAAAAAGTTCAAAAAAGAAACTAAACTAAAAGAAGCAGACAATTAAAAATTCAAAAGACAGTTTCCCCAAATCAGGGGGGACTGCTAAACCGTCAAAGCTAAACCGATACAAGAACTGCCAAGTAAACCTACGACTCAAGTCAGTCTTTCTCTCGAAAATTTTCAGTCCTGTATGACAACACCTCTAGTGTAACAAGCTCCCAATGAAAGACTCTCAATTCCCAGTCTCAAGGTGTACCTAACCATGAAGTCATAGGCTTCTGTCAGTGATGAGAGACCCAGCTGGATCCAGAAAGCTGTGACACTCTGTGGGTTTTCTATTTTTCCCAGTAGGTATCTAAAAGATCAGGCCACGTACAATTTCTCTCTTTTTCAGAAAGTTGTGAATGCTTTGGATGCTATTTAACACAGTGAAGCTGAACAGATTGTTTTGGGGGCTTTAGGGGCCTCTCTTCCCGCAGGGAGGCAAATGTTGCCTAGTGATCTGTGTCTGAGCATAGGAGTCAGGAACTCTAAGTTCTCATCATGACTCTGTTTAGTGTCTGGTTCCATGATCCTTAGCAACTCACTTATCCTTCTATACCTCAACTCCATTTTCCAACAAATGGTGATAAAAACAATGACTTATCACCAAGGGGTATGGCAAAGTGAAAGAGTAAGAAGAACTGTGATCCATAGATAAATGTCAAATATAAAATGCCAATATAAATCTGCCTTTAAATCAACCCTTGTTTTCAGACTGTAGACAGCTACTCTATTTAAAGGCAGGCTGCCTCCCCAATACTCCTTCTGTCCACAGCAAAAATAAAAGAAGCTGATTCCAAGAAGTTCTGTTCAAGTATTCTCCTCTCCAACAACTACATGTGTCTCTCTACACATTCTGCTCATTCTTTGGTTAATGGCTTAGAAACCACCTAAGTTTCCATTTTCACTTGGTTAAAAGCAATCCATGTATCTGTAGGTAGGGAAGAAAGACAAAAGAAAGAGAAATTACCCACTACTCCCTTTCACATCAACAACACAAAAAGGTGATGAAGTCAGCTCCTAATACTATTACTACTACTACTACTACTACTACTACTACTACTACTACTACTATTATTATTATTATTTGAGGTCAAAATACAACATTGGGCTGCTTTAAGAGAATGTTGATTCATCATTAATGGAAATTCTACATACCCACTCATCCATTTATTTATTCATTCAAATGTTTTCTGAGCCCCTATTATAAGCCAAGCAGTGTGCTGGGGCTAAAACAATGATTAAAACACAGGCCCTGCCCTCCAGGAACTTTTTAAAAAGGAAAAATAGATATTTAAACAAATCATTGTACAGACATAGGCAAACATAGCAAAATAATGTGATATGCTAAAATAGAAGCCCGAAGTTCCACAGGAAGACACAGGAAACAAAACATAGGGACCAACACGACTCTGGCCTCAAGAAATTCAGAGATTCCTAAGCTAAAGTTCCTAGGAGGGGTGTAGCACAATCAGTAAATAAAGAAAAAATTAATCAAGTATTAAGATATTCTATGAAGACAGAATTAATTGGGAGGTCGTGGAACCTAAAAATATGGGGATTCTTAACATAGGATCATGGATGGGCTTCAGAAGGTCCATGAACTCTCTGAAATTATATGCAAAATATATATGTGCAAATGGACATTTTCCTGGATCATATCTTTCATTATAATCTCAAAGGTAAAGAACTATTTCACTAGGATCTTATCCTAAAACCCAATTTTCTATCTTTATCAGAGAAGAGTTTTAAGATCTAATTTTTCACTCAAAATAGGAGATCTGGGTAGCCTAGAGGTCAGAGAAGAACTATGAACTTTTCATAACTTGGTGAAAAATAGTGACTGCTGAAAAGAAGGCAATGAGAAAGGCAGGATTTCTCCCTTTCCATATTCTAGTTGAAGTTAGCCTAAATATATTTCCCCACATACTCAGATACCATGGTGACAGGCATCATATAAATAGACAGTGGCAGCAGGGAGTAGGTCACAGCTTATGTCTGTGAAACCAACATATCAGGCAGGATTAAACCCTAACAAATATAGTTGGCTCCTCCTCATCCATAAAACCAAGCCTGAGAATTCCATACAGGAATTTGGAGGGGGACCTCTGGCTACCTCCCCAATCACAAAGAGCTACTATAATCAAACATATAAGAATAAAAATCACCACTAGAAGTGCAGTGACACTAAACACCCCCATTCCAAATAACAAATGGCATTTGGACCCTAGCTGATCGCTTCCTAGGCACTCCAGGTCTCCCACGTTTCCAAGCTAACAACAAATATCTTACCAGTCTTATTTGTAAGTAAAATTCAATTAACGTTTGCAGCATGGGCAAGCATCTATATACATAAGCATGCTTGCCATGATGAGCTTCACACACCTCCCTCAAATCCGTAAGTCTAGAAGGCAAAGAAAGAATGAAAATACGGGCATACCAAAATATGAGGGGTAGTCAGCCAAGGAGTAGGTGGATCCACCATAGCCATATTTATATTCACTGATTGTAATATTATACATTATCATGGGCTCTGATGCATCAGATGTAGTGTAGTGTTTTGCAGCTTTCCTTAACACTTGCTGCTCGTCATCTCACTGTATATACTCCATCCATGAATATGGGGAGCCAGGGTTCCAAGAGGGCTCACCTAGTCTGCACTGGAAAAGGAGCTATCCTCACTTGGCAGAGAACTCTAGTACAAACGCCTATGCCTTAGAAACAAGCAGCTGTCCAAGTCTCACTAACGACACTCATACACACTTCCTCTCAAAACTATCATAGGCCTTAGAAAGCAAATCAATCAGTCCTAAAATAGCAAATAATTATAAACAGAGCTGAACATGACATAAAGCACTCAAAAAAATAGTCAACCGACCAACACAGAATGAAGAATGGTCTCCTGCCTCATAATTTTCTAGCCAGAATAGGAAAAGCTAATATTCAGAAAGATAAATATAAAAGACATTTTTTATCACTTTAAAATATAATTGCCTTTTAAAACAAAAATGATGGCAATGTATTTTGGGATTTATAACATATGTAAAAGTAAAATGTGTGACAACAGCAGCATAAAGGACAGGATACAAGGTAGAGGTAAGAGACTAATAGGAAGCCCTAGGCCCCAGGGAGACAGACCAGGGTGAAGGGTAGGAGGCAATGGAAGAGGCAATGGAACAGGACAATGAGGAAGATGACAAGCGTAGAAGAAAGGCAGAGACAGGATGGCTAGGATAGAAAGGAAGAAGAATAGAATAAAAGAGAAAATAAAACCAGAAGAGAATCAAAAGCAGGTAGAAACAACTACTACCACCAACTCTTCAGTATTACAATGTGTAACTTCATCTCAGTTATAGACATCAACCACTTCTGCTTGTTATAAGCCCTACGATTATACTGATACCCAGAGATTTGCATCATTTTTGTGTTTTCTCTTTAATCCTAAAATTTTGGAGCCTAATCATCACATAATTATCCATATATAACCATAATAGTCCTTTATATCAAAAAGAATTGTTCCTACCTAAGAAATTCTACTAACTTTAGTCATTTCAATCTCTTTTGATCTCTCTTTAGCATTTCTGACATTCCCTCCGTCTCAAACTCTCACACAATCATACTGTTTTCTCCTAAAATATCAAAATGCCACTTGGCGCTTAGTGTTATTGTGCACGCCCCCTTCACCACCATAGGCAGTAACTACAAAGAACTTCCTAATCCATTAATTAAGTATCTGTACTTCCCATTATGAAGGACTAAATTTAGAAGGCCAAACTGAGTTGGGAGGAAACCATGTGTCACAACAAGTGAGATGAATTCCATGGAAAAGGGCAGGGTTACTGGCCCATTTCTCATAAAGCCTCTGACACTTAATACACCCTCTTCTGCTCAGAATACGAAGTAGCTCTCCCAAGGGTGGGGCAACGATTCATCACTATAATCATCTGGAGAAGACTTTATTGTACCACCAGGTCACAAAAGCCACAGGACTTATCAGCAAGCAGATGTCACAGAGAACATGTCTCCTCTGCTTTCCTGAAGCCTCCAATTTAGTTGCACAAAAGAAAGGGGTAGCAAGCCAGTATTAATTGTACCCTTAGAGAAGAGCCACTTCCCGCCTGCAGGGGTGACAGTGACTTTGCTGGGCTACCAAATGGATACAAAGACAAAAGTAAACACTGTAATTTGCTGTTTCTGTCTGCAGCACAGGGGGACTGGTAAAACTGACACTGTCTGTAAACAGTAATAATGCCAGATGTAACACAAAGAACAGGATTCCCCCATCTCTCCACCCTCTCCCCACCCTCTCTCCCTATGACATTCCTCCTGAGATTACTCATCCCGAAGAAATACACAGAAGCCTCCCTATAGTCCATATGCTGCTACCAAATGGAGCCAAGGGAGAATCCAAGTTTGTACTGACTCCTCCTACCTAACTCTCACTCAAAGGAAGGATCATTGGAACTCAAGAAATATTTAATTACTTCTACCAGCTAACAAAAAAATACAGGGAGGAGAAGGAATAAGAGAGAAAGTATAGAAAAGATATGTGACATACCCAGGTTTGGATTAGAATAAGGCTGAAATGACAAAAAGTATAAATGAAAATAGGAGCAACCTAAACAAACCAAAAAATTAAAAAAAAAATTCACCTTATGCCCACGTCTAGGGGCTCATAAATGATATAGTAAAAGAGGATAAATTCAAAAGAGAAAGTTACCTGACCAGAGTTCCCGCCAGGTATAATGCAGACGTACTCTACACTTCTTCTGGTAGCAAAGTAGTTTATGTACTACCTGAATGCAGCGCCTGTAACAGAAAAACAAAAATGGAATAACCCACAAATATCCCTTCTCTAGCAAGGCAGCTTTGCTAAGGCCACTGAAGAAGCTGGATATGAACTTGTACACATGCAAAAGAAAGGAACTTCGATCTACAGTTTTCTGGTGGGTATATCCTACCTCCCCCCACCATACACACACTGCTTGTGTTAACTCCTCTTATCATTAGGAAAAGAGAGCTATAACCACATACACATCAATATTCAATTAGACACAATTGTTAACATTCCCTTGAGTATCTTTCCTCAGAGGAAGGATGCACCAGTGGACCAAAATTATACTACTCCACTCAAAACTGCAAACATACAATGAGAAAACACAAAATTAAAGAACTTAAGTCTTTAGATCTATTTAAATTAAATAAATCTACATTAAAAGTTAAATTAAAAATTCAGTTCCTCAGTTGCACTAACCACATTTTTTTTTAAACATTTTTTATTGAGTTATAGTCATTTTACAATGTTGTGTCAAATTCCAGTGTAGAGCACAATTTTTCAGTTACACATGAAAATACATATATTCATTGTCACATTTTTTTTCGCTGTGAACTACCACAAGATCTTGTATATACTTCCCTGTGCTGTACCGTGTAATCTTGTTTATCTATTCTACATATGCCTGTCAGTATCTACAAATTTCGAACTCCAAGTCTATCCCTTCTCACCCCCGCCCCTGGCAACCAAAAGTTTGTATTCTATGTCTGTGAGTCTGTTTCACTAACCACATTATTAAATACTCAATAACCACATGGGGCTAGTGGTTGCCACACTGGACAGCACAGATATACAGAACTTTTCTATAGTCACAAAAAATTCTATCGGACAGTGCTATTCTAGATCATTGAAATATTCAACATTATTCACATCCTAACAACATATATGTTTTTGAGAATATTTCCAAATAAGCGGTTAGTAGGTTGAGATTGAGATGAAAGACATTTTTAAACATTATAAACCTAACAACAAAATGTTTTTTCATCTCTGACTGGTGTAGGGTTTTGAAAGCTTGAAAAGCTATGGATGTTCAGCAAATGGTGTTAGGAAAACTGGACAGCAGCATGTAAATCAGTGAAGCTAGAACACTCCCTTACACCATACACAAAAATAAACTCAAAATGGATCAAAGACTTAAACATAAGACAAGATACAAACCTCCTGGAAGAAAAAACACAGGCAAAACATTATCTCATATACATTTCAAAAATGTTCTCCTAGGGCAGTCTACCCAAGCAATAGAAATAAAAGCAAGAATAAACAAATGGGACCTAATTAAACTTACAAACTTCTGCACAGCAAAGGAAACCATAAGCAAAACAAAACGACAACCTACAGAATGGGAGAAAATTTTTGCAAAAGATGAAACCGACAAAGGCTAGATCTCCAGAATATATTAGCAGCTCATACGATGTAGCAGGAAAAAAACAAACAGTCCAATCCAAAAAGGGTCAGAAGACCTAAACAAGCAATTCTCCAAGGAAAAAATACAAATGATCAATAGACACATGAAAAAATGTTCAATATCACTAATTATCAGAGAAATGCAAATCAAAACTATGATGAGGTATCACCTCACACCAGTCAGAATGGCCATCATTCAAAAGTCCACAAATGACAAATGCTGGAGAGGCTGTGGAGAAAAGGGAACCCTCCTACAATGCTGGTGGGAATGCAGTTTGGAGCAGCCACTGTGGAAAGCAGTATAGAGATTACTCAAAAGACTAGGAATAGACTTACCATATGACCCAGTAATCCCACTCCTGGGCATATATCCAGAAGAAATCCTTCTTCAAAAAAACACCTGCACCCCAATGTTCATAGCAGCACTATTTACAATAGCCAAGACATGGAAACAGCCTAAATGTCCATTGACAGATGACTAGATAAAGATATGGCATATTTATACAATGGAATACTATTCAGCCATACAAATAACAACATAACGCCATTTGCAGCAACATGGATGTCCCTGGAGAATGTCATTCTAAGTGAAGTAAGCCAGAAAAAGAAAGAAAAATACCATATCAGATCACTCATATGTGGAATCCAAAGAAAGAAAGAAAGAAAGAAAGAAAAAGACAAATGAACATAAATACAAAACAGAAACAGACTCATAGACATAGAATACAAACTTGTGGTTGCCAGAGGGGAGGGGGATGGGAAGGGGCAGACTGGGAGTTCGAAATTTGTAGACACTGACAGGCATATGTAGAATAGATAAACAAGATTATACTGTATAGCACAGGGAAATATATACTGGATCTTGTGGTAGCTCACAGTGAAAAAGAATGCAACAATGAATATATATATGTTCATGTATAACTGAAAAATTGCGCTCCACACTGGAAATTGACACAACATTGTAAACAGACTATAACTCAATTTTTAAAAATAATTTTAAAAAAAGCTATGGATGAAAGTATAAAGGAAAATATTGATAAAATGTATTTCCTAAAAATGAAAACCTCTTGTTTGATTACAAAAATTATAATGATTAAAACTAAGAGTCAAACAATACAGGAAATTACATTTGTAACAAATGACATTAAAGGGTTACTATGCTTAATTTATATAAATTTATACAAATTGATAAGAAAAACTAATGCTCCTAATAAGAAAGATGGGCAAAGGAAATGGTCAACAAATTCTCCTGTCCCCCAATAAAGGGGAAATATGGAAAGTTAACATTTTCCAACAATGTTCAACTTTACCTAAAAAAGTCATATTAAAACAAGATCCTGGGGGAAGAGTATAGCTCAGTGGTAAAGTGCATGCCTAGCATGCACAAGGTCATGGGTTTGATCCCCCAATACTGCTGTTACATAAAAATAAATAAATAAATAAATAAATAAATAAATAAGCCTACCCTCTCCCCCAAAATAAATTAAATAAATGAAAAATACCACCCTTAAAAAAAAAAACAAGATCCTGCTTTTGCATATCAAATTAATATAGATTTTAATGCTGACAAAAGTACAGCAAAATAGCCACTCATATATTATCAGAGAAAGTATAATTGGTACAGAGCCCTTTTAGTAGACAATTTGGCAATCTCCATGAATAGTCTTAATAATGTTTATATCCTTTGATCCACTAATGCCACTCCAGAAAATTCAGCTTTAATCCAGAATGGAAAAAAAATGCTTTATGCAAAAAGATGTTCAACATAATCTTATTTAGAGTAAAAGAAAACTGTAAATAACTGTGGAAAGAATGTCCAACACTGAAAGAAGAGTAAGTAAATCATTACATAATGTTATGTACTGTGTTCCTCCAAAATTCGTATGTGGATATCCTAACACCAATGTGACTGAATTTGGAGAAAAGGCCTTTAAGGAGGTTAAGTTAAATGATGTCAAAGGCTGGGGCTCTAATAATCTGCTAGAACTAACTTCCTTATAAGAAGAGGGCCATCTATAAGCCAAGGAGACAGGCCTCTGTAGAAACCAAAGGTTCTGGCACCTTGATCTTCGACTTCCAACCTCCAGAGCTGTGAGGAATAAATTTCTGTTGTTTAAGCTACCCGATCTGTGGTTTTTTGTTATGGCAGCCCACACAAACTATTACACATACATACAATGAAATCTCATGAAACTCTTTAAAAGCACATTCATGGAGAATTTTTCACAACACAGATATTTCTGTTATAATGGTAAGTGAAAAAACAGCATGCAAAATTGTATACAATTAAATATATAATGGTTACAACTATATTCAAATGCATAGAAAACAGATTAAGTTTTCATGTTAATGGTGGTTGCTTCAATGTAGGATTGTAAGTGAATTCTATTCTTTCTCTTTTTCTGTTTTCACCAAATTTTCTACAAGTATATTTTACTTTTATACCTTAAAAAAAAAACACCATTTAAAACAAATTCATTTAAAAAAATGTTTTAAATCTAGAAAAGGGCACAAAGGGACTTCTGAAAGATAGAAATGTTTTATATCTTGATTAGAATAGTTGTTACAGGGATGTATACATTTGTCAAAACTCATCAAACCACTCATTCTACTGAAATCCTGTTAGTAAGTCCTTGGCAATGGGGGTCTAGAAACCAACAGGCAGAACATGAGAGAATTAATATGGAGAGAACTAGTATGTTAATCTGTGAACCAAGAATCTAAGTACTCAAGGTTTTACACTGTCATTTCTTAAATCAAGTTAATGTTCCTTCTACTTTTGTCAAAGAGGGGAAAAGTCCAAGCAAAAACAAAAACCTTGGCAGTAGTGAGGATATAGAGAAGTTGGAGCCCTCATACCTTGTTGGTGGAAATGTCAAATGGTATCACCACTTTGGAAAATAGTTTAAAAGTTTCTCAAAATGTTAAACATAGAGTTACCATATGGCCCATAAATTCTACTACTAGGTATATACACAAGAAAAATGAAACATACATCCACACAAAAGCTTGTACATGAAGGTTCACAGCAGCATTATTCATAATAGCTAAAGGTATAAACAACCCAAATGTCTATCAAATGATGAATGGATAAATGAAATGATGTTGTACATCCATACAATAAAATATAAATCATACAAGATGGATCAAAACATAGTAAAAAAAAAAGTCAGTCACAAAAGATCATATATATTTCATTTATAAAAATGTCCAAAATAGGCAAACAGAGAGAGACAGAAAGTAGATTGAAGGTGGGAGCACAGAGGCCCAAGGCTGGACTGTACTGCTCTGAAGCTCCAGGCTCATCATATAAACCAAAAGTTTCAGAAGTCAGACCTATTTCTTCATTCATTCATTTCACAACTACTGACTGCATACCAAGTAAACATCCTATACTTAAGTCTTACAAGAACTAAATGGTCAAGTTCTTAGAAACTAGATCCACATAACCTGCTAGATTGAGGCAAATGAGAGAGGCTTTTTCTCTTGAAACTGTTCTGACATGAAAGAATAAGGCAAAGAAAACAAAAATAGAAGAGAAAATAAGCAAGGCAAAAGGGCTTAACAAAGC